AAAAAAGTAACATTCTCTTGTTGCTTAGCCACTAAAAAAGCAAGTGGAAGACTAATCTCAAAAAACAGGGGAAATTGAGGGGATGTTACATGAATTGAGGACAAGAAATCGGGTGAGTTATCTACATGGGTCCTACTAACCTCCAACGATTTATTTCTTTCCACGTGGACCCTCCCATCAACAAGAATGTGATTTGGTGCACTTGGTGCGTTTATCTTGGATGATTCTCCACCGCCCATACTCCCCTTTGTTTGATGCTTGCACGAAGTTAATGGAAATTTGATTTCAGCCACATATCCGACCCGATCCGACTACGTTGAAAATGTCTTATTTATTGGATTCAAGTCACCCAACGTTGTTCATGTCACGTGCACCTATGCAGTCCCAATAATGTGATACTACGTCTAGTTAGTAAGCACCCCAATAAGCAAATTCAGAAAGGAAGGTGTACCCAAGGTCAATCTCATCACAAAAAAAAATATTTAATTCACAAGAGAGCTAACACCAAGCCAAGGCAATAAACAATAAATAGTAAGAGTTACGTGAGATTTATCTAACTAAAGACAAGCTAACAAGAGGAAAATGCCTCAAAGTCAGGTTATAGTGAGTATTTTGGGATTGACTTATGGGTTAACAGGTCATACTTTGGCCTAATAGAGAATCTGAGAGCCAGAAATATTAAAGGTATGGCTTGTAGAAATTTGATCGTTCGTTATCAATGTCAGGAAGCATATCAAGATTTATGGGAACGATAACCTTTTTCGAGAAGAGTAAAGCAAGGGATATGATAAATGAACATGTTTAAGCCTTTATCGGCTAAGATAAATTGAATAAAAAGCCCCATTAAATGCCTCTTTCTCACAAGCTAGATTGAGGAGTCTTTCATAAGTTGACTCTCGTCCCTAGACAAGCACCATATGCCTTTGTTGATCCCTAATAGATTAACATTTCGAAATGACAAAGTTGAGAAAGACCGTCCATGTCTATTAACATCAAGGTACACTGCCCGGTTCTTATGACGCATGGTCTATCTTATGATATAGAAATGGGGCCGTACGCTCTCTACCCTNTTTCATAAGTTGACTCTCGTCCCTAGACAAGCACCATATGCCTTTGTTGATCCCTAATAGATTAACATTTCGAAATGACAAAGTTGAGAAAGACCGTCCATGTCTATTAACATCAAGGTGCACTGCCTAGTTCTTATGACGCATGGTCTATCTTATGATATAGAAATGGGGCCGTACGCTCTCTACCCTCGCACGTTCTATTTCGCTATAGAAAGTATCATAGCGGAGTTTTGGATTTTTTTTCTTTCACTTTTTTCTAATTCTCTTGTTGTACCATGTTCAAACTTGACAACAGTAGTGAAGTGTTGTTTACGATGTTTGTTATTAAGAAAACACTCAAGGAACAAGATTTGTATCTGCCATTTTTGAATGTGTCTTATGTCTATATAACGGGGACCTCTCATAAGAGATTAGATCTCAGAGTTGTGAGATACGACATTGAACGAGCTCATCAAGAGATTTTAGATGGAACATTAGTTGAACCCGTTTGAGCCTCATTTTTTGTCCAAAATATATTTTGAAATAGTATTTTGATAAAGAATATGTATTAAAAAATAAAAAAGATTTGTGAATTTGAATGTAATATTATTTTATTGACGAATTTGTTATTAAAAATAAGAGAGAAAAAAATATATTTTTAAAATAGTGAAAACCAAACAAGGGCCTAGTAAAATTTTATTCATCGTATTTTTCCAAAAAAAAAAAGTTGTACAAATAGAAAAATTTGTAATAGCTTGTCTGACAATTTTGGAATAGTTGAAAGTGAAAGCATCCCTTGAATGCTTGCTCTGATTGGATAGAGTTTGAGATTAGGGTCACGAGTTTGCAGTCGGTCTGCTTGTATGCATGCATCCTTCCAAATTCAGGTAGAAAAATGGTCCTCAAAAACACATGCATGGACAAGCATTTTTTTTTTTCCATTTTTTGTCATAGTGATTATGTAAATTACTTTACATGATGTTAAAGGATATATATCCCACATCGATAAATGATGTTGACACGATCAATTAATAAAGATCTTGGGCTACTCCTTTTAACAATGTTGACCTTTTAAATTGGAATCTCAATTCTTAACATGGATATCAGAGCCTATTATGCCTTAATGAGCAATTCGATCTCGTTAAGACTCTAAAATAATCACGTAGATTTCAAGATTGGTCTGCTCAAATGAGCCACCATTTTGTGGGGGCGTGTTAAGCGATATATATCCCACATTGATAAATGATGTTGACATATACCAATTAATAAAGATTTTGAGCTATTCCTCCTAACAAGATTGATATTTTAAGATGGAACTCCAATTCTTAACACATGATATTTCATTGTAACGATTAGATAGTAATGGATCTTTTTAAAATAGAAAAACAAAGTAATGAATTCTGTTTCAGTATTGCCCACTAAATCCCCGGTTTGGTGTGAATTAAAATTTTGATGAAAATCTAATCGAGGAAAACAATTAATTTTAATCAAAAATTTCGTGGGATACATAAGTTTTATCAACTTTTATCAAAATTTACTAAAAATATTCTTAGCTACGCCAAACAAGAGCTAAATTTGTACGATAGTTTTGTGGATGTCCGCGTGCTTTCTAATAGTTCAAGTAGATTAATCAATGATTGAAGAGTGAAGCAAAGACCAAACTGAAAACATTGACCAACATGACACCTATTGTTTTTAGGGCACTAAGATGTACAGACACAAAACCATGGTTTTCCTAATAAGTCAATAGCTGTACAGTGAAGAGAAGATGCCATTTCCAGAGGTATAAATACATGGCCCTGCTTGCTACAGAGATATGGGAGGAAACATGAGATAATTTAGTTTAAT